AATGTTTTGTTAAAGACATTTTGGGTTAAGAGTTTAATTTGATATTTGATTTATATAATTTTGTGAAGAATTCAATTTGATGTTTGCATTTTCTCTCTCCACACATACACACACACACACAAATGTTCAATCTTGCGCGACCTTTCGTTTTATTTATATCCGCGAGTCGCGATATTTCGATACACGTCGACGATGCACGGATCGCTACTTGTTTATACAATTTCTTGCGTCATTGAAATCTAACCAACAGCTTTTGTCGTAAATATGTTGTTATATGCACGTATCATACAATTTTAAATTTGATAAGATGAGAGCGTAAAATTGGCCGGAAAATAAATGTTTTTGTTTTGTCAGAGTTATTTTACATTTTATTTACATTTATTTTTCCATTATAATTTTAATGTATTTTTATTTTTATATGGCTTAATAATATACACATAATTTTCTTTTAAGTTTTCTCCAGCGTATAAAACATTATGCATCAACCATAAAAAAATATAACCCTCAGCATATAATGTACGTGTGTGTGTGTGTATATATATACATATAAAACCAAATTTATATAATAATATATCTTTTTTTTAGATTTTTATGTAAATTCGGCGTATCTATTACAAGTATCTATTATATATCTATTAAAAGGTATTTATATGCACGTATCTATGTGTGTGTGTATATATAAATATTCTCCTCCTATATACTACTCTTCTAAATTAAAAAGTGTATAATTAATTACACTATTATTCGTTTAGTAATCTATTATTCATTTCTATTTTGTTATTCTTCTACATATTTTTTTATAATACTTCATAAATTTTAGTTCAAATTTTACAGATGAAAAAACATGGTTAAATATTTTATAAATTTTCCAAATTGAATTAGATCAGAAAAAAAACCAAGACAAAAATATGTAAAAAGCATCTCTCTATATAAATCTATAAATGTGAAAACTGCATAACATTTAATTCATAACTTTCCACATGAATTAAACTCAAAAATAGAGGCACTGAAAGAAGCGATTTTTAAGGGGAATTCGATTATATGCCAACTCCTGCAAAATTTTTCTCCTCTCTCTCTCTCTCTCTCTCTTTCTCTCTCTGTCTCTCTCTGCATCTCTCTTTGTTTTCTCTTTTCTACCCTTGACTGGGCTCTTTCGCGCTTATTGAATCTCACGCGGAATTTGTTTCGCAAGCAAAAAAGTAGAAACCTTGGAGTGCAATTTTTTCAACAGGAATAACGAGCCTGCCAACGGCACGCGCCATTTTACGCAGCCGTAAAAAATCAGATTGCCGATGCGTAAAAAAAGGGAACGTTGACGTCGTATTTGTGGAAAAAAAGAGAACAAATGAAAAACCGTGAAGATTCGCCGATTATTTATTATAACACAAATTTTTTAATTCTCAAAGATAAGATTGTACCAATCAAACTATAAATAAGAATTACGTTATTAGCTTGTGTAAGCGAAAATTTATCATTAGCGTTTATTTTATCAGTGCTTCTTATCATACTTCGCAGATAAAATTTAGGTGAAACATGTAAGCGCGCGGGAGAGAGACGAAGGAAAGGATTAAGTCGGCGAAATTCGCATCTACACACTCACACAACACGGCAAAGCTGAACACGCTGGCAACACGGAATAACCGGTGTGCGCGAATAGAGCAGAGGCGTTATCTTCCAGAGAGCGAAAATTGCAACGAAGCTGCAATTTAGAGCCGGCGGGGTAGCCTCGTTAACGCCATTTGACCGCGTCGAACAGAAGATGCTCGCTTGAATGTTGTAATATGCATTTCGGATCCGTGCTCGCTTTAACACTCGTCAAATACACGCGTTCCAAGAAAACTGTGGAAAATATATTTAATATCGCATCTCGCGTGAAACGAAAAATTTTGAGAGACGAAGGAGAGAAAAAGAAAAATTTTTTATTATCGGGAGAATATTTTGAAATCTTCAGAGATCATTTTATCTGCAAATATATATGTATATTCTTTATACACTTATACATTTTACACTTATTTTAATAATGTAGAAAATGTGTGAAAAAGAGATTTAGGCGTGAAAGTAATCCGAACCAACTATAACTTCCTATCAGAACTGGCCCAATTGATCGCGTCGACATTTACAACCGCGTTAGTGAAAGTACAAATAGTCATTTTTTGAAAAACGCGCGGCGTCAGGCGAGTCTCGTCGATTTTTCTGTCGTGTCACCAGGCGTAACGATACGGAAAGGAGAAAAACAACGGGGGAGAAGAGAAACGACGGTGAATATTATAAACGCGTTTGCACTTTTGCTCGCACTTCGGTCCGGCGGCTAGTTTTCGCTTTCTTCCGCAAAACCTGTCGGTGGAGAATCTTTTCCCTGAGACAAGTCGGCGCGCGAGCTCTCGCCGACATTTCAACATTCATACACACACTCGCCGAGTCACTCTACAAGCCCGGCCCTGTAAGAATCTCGAGATTCTCGCGAAAAGATCGTTAAATACTAATCATTTCTGAGTTACGTTCGAACGCAGTAAAATGAAAATCCTATGCAAAAGAACACGAGGAATCTGTGCAGTCGAGTAATAAGCATCGTGTTTTATAGCTCTTCCGCTTGTATGCGTTATGCAAAAACAATAATTTATTTTTCAAATCTCCGAGCAATAAAATATATAATCTTCCAAACACATTAATTTATTGATCGTAATATTTTAATTATTTTATATATGTAATATATATCTTATAGCTCTGTGACTCTCGCGTAGGATTCTATTTCTTATTCAACTCGGTCGCGTCTCTCTCTCGTCACGACGACTTCGCGAAATCGGCGATGCGCGGCGCGGCGTTGCGCGCCGGTGAAATCGTCTTCGTTGTGCCGCACGTCCTCGGGATGCGCAACGGCGAAGGCTAGATAGAGTCTGCGTGTACACACGGCCGGGCGGATAATGCGTTCTTATGCGCGAGCACGTGTGTGCATCGTCGCGGATTATGCAAGAGGCCCAGGCCTCGTGCCGGGTCGCCGAGCGTCGCTCACACATAAGACGCACCCGTTCGTTGAAAGACGCGCGCGTTAGTTAGTCACGACGAGACGCAAGCGATCACAATCGCAATAATAGGGGGATTCGTAAACAGGTAATGGAGAATGGCTCTCTGACGAAAGAAACAATAACGTGAGGAGAGGATAATTAGCATAATCGCGCGCGCGCGGCTGAAACTTTAATCACAGCGCGTGCAAATTTATTTAATGCTGAAACGTCACGTCGAGGAGAATAAAGTGGCAATGTAGAAATAAAACGATAGATAGAGAGAGCGACGTAATACGACACGCGTCGATTATGTCGATGATTAATTGATTTGCATTTTAAAAACTACCGGATAAATTGCCGAGTCAACTTTGTACACATCGCACGTTTGAAGAAGTAATGACTTAAAGAATAATATTGATATATCAATGCACAGACGTGCGCAATATATCGCACTACGCGCGTGCAATTAAATTAAAAACTTATAAAATAGACGAATTAATTACTCATATCGGATAGAGTTCGCGATTTTTGCCTTTTTTTTCGTAAAAAAATAAAAATCGTGACAAAGGATATATCTCGCGGGATTTGTGCCCTTTTTACGTATGCCGGGGCAAAGGACAGAAGGGGATTCAGTTTTATCTTTGATTTTGCGTTGGCAGAGTGGCAAGGAAGAGAGGGAAAGAGGAGGAAGAAAGGCAGGAAAGGGGGCAAAGTACATACTAATCCCATAAGAGTGCCGGTGCTGGTTTCATTGAAACGTCGGCGAGCAGAAAAACAGCATCTAGCTTAAATTCCAGAGGATGTTTCGACGTCGTTTGATAAAATCCGTTTCCCTTCGTCTTTTCCTTCTCTGCCTACCTACGATAACGCTTTCAAGCTCGCGGTTAAGGGAAAAATAAAAAAAATGAGAAACGCATATCGAAAAGATGCGGCTGAGAAAACATCAGGTACAAGGTGTTCGGATTATAATAATTAGAATTTGGTACCGTATATAATAATATTACCGGACGGAAATTGTGTTAATAAAAACAAAAACAAAGTAGAAATTAAGAAAAACTAAACGATCACAAATCTGCAATACAATTTTTCACATGACTGTGTGTGTGTGTACTAAGTTGATTTTTCGTGCTCGCATATCCACTTCAATTAATTTACCTCAGATGTTTATAAAGTTCTTTTTATTTCCGCAATATACAGTGCTCGTAAGATTTTCTATTGCGGGCGTAACGGGTTGGTAGGTAGAAACACACGAGTTCAAGCAAGAGAGTAAACAGATGAGAAAAAACTGCATTTACACGCGAAATTGGAAAGTTAGAGAACGTGACAAACGAGATATTCGCGTTCGCGGAAAATCGTAAAAATCATAAAATTTATTATTAATCCTATTCCGCGTAATTATTATCTCATTTATATTTGTTATTTATTATTTAGCGCATTAATCTCGCGAATTTTATATTTTTACTATTTTAATTTTACCATTGTGTTAAAAAACTTGATTTAATGTAGTTTATTATTATAAAAAGTAATGTAATAAATTCCATTGTTCTTATTACTGTTAAAAAGTATAAAGACATAAAAACCACACAGGTTGTTTAAATCTCAAAGACTTTCACGCGGAGCGTTTTTCTTTAATTACGAGAGCTTAAAAAAAAAAGGGTTCTTTTTTTTTTTAAGGATTTTCTTAAGAGAATCTCTCGACAGTATGTCACTACCGACACAAGACGCTGTATCTTTTTCTTTTCAGAGAACAAATTCTTGTCCTCGTTCTCTTCCAAAGTCGCCGCGCTCGAGATATGAAATTATCTCTCGACTAAAGGCGAGGACATTTTTACGATTTCGCGGAAGAATAAATAAGACAAAGAAAATGCAGAATGTCAGCTGATTCGCTCTCTGCAAGATGGTGACAAGGCGACGCAATAACGCGAGCGAAAAATTTTCCGAATAATAATAATGTAAAAGTATCTGATAAAGAAAAAAAAAGAATCACTATATACTCACCAATTCCTCTCGACGATCTCGCCTCCATGATCGGTCCAGTTGTCGCATCCGTTATGCGCTGTTAATTTCGTAGTTAATTCACACCAGTTAATAGTGTTGCACGCGTATTAGTCATCTGCAAAACAAGACACCACACACTTGGTGAACAAACGGTAAAACGCCACTCAACAAACTGTCATCGTTTTATTTGGCAAGGATTTATAGAACGTAATTGGGCAAACGTCCAAAAACTTTTCTTCTTTTATTTCACTTACACGGGAATTCACGCGTATTTTCGACGACAATAGACAAAGACACAAAAAGAATGTTATCGTCTCCAAGACGAGTTTCGCTTTTTTTTTTTTTTTTGATACGTGTATATATATTACCTACCGTATCATTTGCGATAACATTATCACCGGCCTTGTGGAAAAAAACTATAGTATGTGTGTGTATACATATGATATTTAAAGCGCAAATGCTTGTCGGATTGGTTTGAACAAACGCGCAACCGCGCGTGCGCGTAGAGATAATACAAAAGATGCGTTCACGGAGATAATTTTTGTGGACGCAAACGAGCGTAATGGCGCCGATTAATCATCGTCGATCCGAATCACTAGGTGGACCGCGCATCCATCATATAAGAGTGTTTAATTCAGACCACCATGTAGCGACAATATCCATCAACATGTCGTCGCGGCCGCTCCGTACTGAGATATACGAAAGCCCGACAAATTAATAAATCGTTTTACGCTATTTTATTTTTTTATTATTTAGTTTCGACCGAGAATGCAAAGTGCTTATTCAATTTTCCACAGAACAAATATTAACTAAAAAACATTTTTTAAATAGATACTTTATTCGATACTTCATCAAATTACGAGTGTATAAAGAACTTTATTACTTAAAATCGCTATAATGCGCTATATTAAATCTTAAATTCCAAACCCTGTTTTATTACTAATAAAGAAAAGTGTCTTCTCGAGAGAGTAAAGGTAAGAGAGTAAAGTCGGAAGTATCTGATGCGTCAATTTATTTCAAGTCGACACAACATTATACACAACTTGCCGAACACTTCCGACTCTATTGCAAATTCCAGCAACAAGTTATGCTACTTGTCTTAAGCGCGATCTTACTCTCGCGGTGTTTCATTTGCATAATGTCAAGCGTATATGTCGTTTCGCATTAGCAAAGATGTAGTGAGTTACAAGACTGCTGCTCGCAGCCATTCGGTTGACCGTGTTATTAGCGACTCGAAGAATTCAAGAGATAAAAACAATATTTTCTGTTCAAACTTTATCTCAAGTCTCTTTGAGAAACAAGAAACGTTTTTAACGATTTTACGCGCGAGCGAACTTATAGAGATTACTTAAAAACGTCTTTTAAAAATTATTTTAAAATTCTTTAAAAATTACTTTAAAGGAAAAAGAAATAAATTTGAAATTAAATGTTTGCGTCAATATACAGAGAATATGCACGTGAAAAAAAAACCATAAATATGTTGTACGACACAAAATATCATAATTATTATGTTATTATGTTATATCATCATGTTGTATGCTAATTTAATTTATATGCTATTGTTATGTGCATTGTTGAAATGATAAAATTGATCCCGTCACTCTATGTTTATGTTTTATCCCCGCAAGCCATGGGAACGCGGTCTCGCGAATTTACGAGGACGCGGACTCGGCAAAACGAATCGGCGCGCGTTTAATCGCGCGTTTTATGGCTGGTGCATTTTACGGGAAGGGTACGCAATTAAACGCGCCGATGCAATTAACCGGCGCGACATGAAAGAAAGAACTCCGTCCGTTTGCATAAGAAAGCTCGGATAGACCACAATTCTCGCCGTTTCATCATCCTTTCTCTCGCGCATCAATTTGTTTTTTTTTTTGTTTTTTTTACCCAATAAAACTAACAAGTATATTTTTTTACAAAATTCTCTTTCGCAGAAAGACCGCGAAAGAAGCTGTACAAACAAATAATTTATGTTATTATTAAATATCGTTGAAAGAGAAGTGCGTTTTCGATGAAACTTTCATTCCCGGCGCAGCTTCTCGATGGACCGACACCTCCCTTTCTCCGTAAAAATTAACTATCCTACATCGCGAAAAGATTATATTGTAGAAATCCGAGGCGGAGAGTGCGTTTCTCGCGCGTCACGCTCTCGTTCGCTTCTACTCGTCTAGAAGAGATTCGACGATCGATCTTTTTATCTGTTGTGGCCATTATTATTCGCTGAATGGACGTTGGTTTCATTAGACCGGATTCTCCCACGATGAATTTTACCGATATCCGTCACACTTTCGTGGTTCAGTTTCTTTCGCGCGATTTGACAATCTAAACATATATACATCCGCGTATTTTCGAAACAATACATATTTGATGATACGATCTCTCTCTATGTTACATGTATATTCGCATATGCTTTGCAAAAAAAAAAATGTTTCCTGGCCTACATATACACAGAATATTGCATAAAAATTTTAATTCAACAGAATTAAAGCTCCTATTAGGAACACATCTTGAAGATAATCTCGCTCGCAAAGGGACAGAAGAAGGCTGTGCGCGTTATTTTCCCGGAGCAATTAGCGGTCGGTGATGAAATTGCCGGTGCGTTGTTTCACGTGAGATACCCGCGTGAGATGTATCGTGTGTATTCACGCGCGCGCGTTCACGAATTCGCGCAATTAAAACGGACGTTCGCCGACGTTTACATCTATGTTTGGTAAACAAACAACGCGAGACGCGCTTATTTGATACAAGTATAATGCGCGCGCCAGCCAGGGCCAATTATCATGCAAATATTAATAACGTAAACATTAATGACCGACGCGCGGCGCACTTCCCGTTGCAACTTCCTATCTGCACACACACACACACACACACACTTTGTGCGCAGCAGAAGAAAAAACAATGGAAATTTATCAATTTGCTCTTTGTATTTATTGAGAATTTCCGGAAGTGTTAATTTCAATACGCGCTCGGTCGTGACGCGTTCTCATTGCGGGAAGAGGTCGCAATATTTTCTCGGTTTTAATTCGCGGTGAGTAAGTAAATGGAAAGGAAACGAATAAATACAATGAAGAAGAGAAAAAAATATATATATATATATCTTAGAGATCAACCGGCCGTAAAGAATCAATTTCTCGGCAGAACGAAGGCACAGAGCGCTTGGATTGACTTTCATCAGCTTCTTGAAGGATCAAGTGGAAAGGACCGGAATGATCGTGAAGGATCGACGAATTTGAAATTCGACGACGTTAATAAACGCATAGCTCTTCGGTCGCTTTTCTTTCAAAAGGAAACCGCACCGAGAACGGTGACATCGGGAGGAAAAAAAATGACAGATTAAAAAAACAGACCGATCGAATCGAAGAAAAGAAGAAGATAAATTTGCATGGACTTGTTTAAAAGCAAATCCACACAAATGTATCTTTTCCATCTAGTTCTATTCGACCCAACTTCGCTTCGTGTTCTAATGGCTCAAGCTCCGAATCGTTCGAACATAGTTTCCTCGTATATTTTATTCAAAAGACATCAAACTCTTGTTATACGACAAAAAGCGATAAGACAATGATAACACGAGAGCAAAGAGATATATGGCATTTAAATGAAAATTAATGTAATAAAGGGAAATAAATCAAATATGATTCATAATTTTATGATTTTCCTCCGATTTCGTTTGTCTTTTATCTTATACGCGTCTGTATCTATACATCTATCCGTCTATCCATCCATCTTCCTCTCTTTGCACACATACACACACATATGTGCACACACACGAACGTATCTTACGTACACACAACTTATCATCGCGGTTCCGACTACGGCTGGCTCGTCTCATTAGCCGAGATAATTAACTCAATTTAAAGTTGCTATCTTGCTATCTTGAAAGAACCTTACCGCTTCTCTTAAGAAACTGTCAATCAGCCGTCCTATCAATCGCTTTTTCAGTGAGGCAACAAACTAATTTCTCGCTTCTCTCGTTTTCCACTCGTCCCCCGTTAAAAAATCTCAGCGGCAGAAATCTATCTATAACTTTCCAAGTAACTCGCCAAACGTCATGTATAAAAACAAAATAAATAAAAAAAAAAAAAAGACAGGTAAGAATAAACAAAGTTTTAATAACTTATAGAGTCACGATCAACAGATTCTCTCTTCAAAATTAATTCTTTTTCTGTGTGCCGTGAATTTTTCAATTTTTCTGTTATCTCGCTTCTTTATCATTTTCTCGCGAAACACATAAAAGCTCTCTTTGAGACGAAAGGGGTAGATTCTGATTTCCGCTCGACGACGCTCAATACACTAATTGGCGCTATATTGACGTCGCGACGCCGAGGACACTTGATAAACAAATTGCAGGAGACGCCAAATTGCGGCACAAAGGATCGCCGGATCAAAAACGGCGAGACGATCGAGACAAATAAGTGCATAGTCTCCTCCCTCGAATTGTTTATGAATAATTTATAAATTTATCGATTGTTTTCTACCTTAAAAGCGTTTACAAAGCGTTCTTCTTCGCGTGAATTGCGAAGCGAATTTACGTTAACGAAGTTCGCGAATCGCAGGAAACTTGTATAACAATCGAGCGACAAAGAGTTTTGCAGAAACGATCCGACGTCAACATGTACAAAGAACTGATGAAATATTCACGCAAATTATTAGTATATAAAAATCATTCTAACAGAATTACTAACAAACTACATCGAAATAAAAAAAAGATAAAGTTTAAAAACAAGAACAAAAAATAACGAAAAATATAAAGAAAATATTGTAAGAAAAATATTTACACTTTTGTTTCTGTGAAAGAAGTGCAAACTAAGCGTGTACAATATTTTCGAAAAATTTAATTTAATTTAATTCGAATTACAATGTGTTTAATTTGCGCTTCAAAAATATTTTGCAGGTAACACCGTTTAACGCTCGGTTCTTACTTGACCTTATTATTTTTCTCTTACATTTAAACTTTATCCCATACTGGGTGTGCGTGCGTGCGTGTATGAGTGTGTGTTCTATCGCATTGTGTGTGAACTTTAGTTCGTGCTTCTCGACACAAGAGATTTGCAACGAGTAGACGAGAAGATTGCATCTGCCGCGGAAGAAAGTGGAAGAAAGAGAACAGAGAGAACG